GGCAGCTGTCAGTGTGATGAGTTTGGTGGGTCTCAGTCAATGGACAAGTGCCTCTCTCACAAGAAGTACGCCCTGCCCCCTCCCCAGTGGGCACTAGCTGGCAGAGAGACCAAGGCCTGAGCAGGATTGACGCCAGGCTGTCACCAGGGCACATCCAGGCTGGCCTGGCCTCTTTCCATACAGGTAGCTACTCCACCCTCCCCACACCTCTGCATAAGGTCTACCTGGGGGAGGGTGGGCCAGAGCAGGCTTGGGGGCCAGCCCCTGTCCAGGGGTAGGGGCTGAGCCGGAGCAGGCTGTGGGAGTAGTGCCTGGCTTGAGGGGCTGGGCGAGGCAGCCCCTGCCTTGGGGTGGGGAAGGGGCTAGGCTGAAGCAGGCTGGGGAGCTGTGCCTCTCTTGGGGAGGGGGCTGGGTTAGAGTGGGGTGGGGGGTAGTGCCTGGCATGGGGGGTTGGGCTGGAGAAGGCTGGGGGAACAATGCCTGTTGTGGGGAGCGGGGCCAGAGCAGGCTTGGGGGCCAGTGCCTGTCCAGGGGTAGGGGCTGAGCCGGAGCAGGCTGTGGGAGTAGTGCCTGGCTTGAGGGGCTGGGCGAGGCAGCCCCTGCCTTGGGGTGGGGAAGGGGCTAGGCTGAAGCAGGCTGGGGAGCTGTGCCTCTCTTGGGGAGGGGGCTGGGTTAGAGTGGGGTGGGGGGTAGTGCCTGGCATGGGGGGTTGGGCTGGAGAAGGCTGGGGGAACAATGCCTGTTGTGGGGGGCTGAGCTAGAGCAGGCTGAGGGGGAGCCATGCCTCTCTGGCGGGCCTGGGCCGGAGCAAGTGGGGTTGGGAGGGAATTCCTATCCTAGGGGGTGTGACATTAATAGCAGCGCAAGGGCATTCTGGGGTAGAGTCTAGATCAGCAGGCAGCTGTATCACCCCAGTCCTGCATCTTGGGGTGCCCCATAAAGCTGTGCTGCGGTAGCAGCTCTGGGGTGCTCACAGCCAGCCTGCCAGCAGGAAGGCTGTAGTAGAAAGAGCCGAGACATGAGGCTTGTATGGGAGGCTGGTCCTGCACTCCAACCGCCTGCCCCAATCTGGTAAAAGTGAGTGAGGGTGGGGAAGAGTAAGGGAGGGATAGAGGAAGGGGTGGAGCCTCAGAGAAGGGGCGGGGCATGGGTGTGGCTTCAAGGAAGGGGCGGGGCAGGGCAAAAGTGTTTGGTTTCGTGGGATTAGAAAGTTGGCAACCCTGGGTCAAGCCTTCCCGACATAAAATAAAGTGAGCAAAAGTCAGACTGCGAGCAGACGTCACGTTGGCCCAACACAGTTAGGGTGCATCTAGACTGGCTGCTTGAATTCGCACAAGAGCACTGACTTTGTAATGCACAAAATCAGTGCTTCTTGCGCAAATACTTTCACGCTCCCGCTCGGGAAAAAGCCCTCTTGCGCAAGAATACTTGCCAGTGTAGACAGAGAAGAACTGTTTTGCGCAAAAAAGCCCCGATGGCTAAAATGGCGATCGGGGCTTTCTTGCACAAAACCGCGTCTAGACTGGCCACGAATGCTTTTGCGCAAAAGCATCCATGCCAATCTAGACGCGCTTTTGAGGAAATACTTTTAACGGAAAAACTTTTCCGTTACAAGTATTTCTACAAAATCATGCCAGTCTAGACGCAGCCTTAGATCAGGGCACGGGAATATATATCAGTCCGCAGGCTAGATTTGGTCCACTAGGGTTAGCTCCTGACAGGCCCCCACACTGTTTTATTTACCTGCAGTGCCTCTGCAGGTCCGGCCTTGGATCACTGTTCCCCTTCAACGGGAGCTGGATGGTGAACTGCCACCATTTTATTGTTAACCTCTGGTTTAGGAGATGATTTTGGCTCCTCCTCCTGGATTGGTTTGATCTCTCTTCCTCCTTCGAAGAACAGAGCTGGGTAGGCATCAGCAGGTGCCTCTTTCTTATGTTAACAATGTTGGAGTTGTGTTTCTTCTACCCCGTTTGCTGGGGGCTGAAATCGTTTGAGCCTGATGGGCAGAAGTCATAGCCAAGACGTGGTTGTCAGCGGCTGGTGACTGACAGCTGTGATGAGCAGCCAGAAGGGTGGCATTGGAGAGACGCAATGAGAAACCGGTAGAGCAGTGGGGACACAACAAGCGGCCAGCAGGGATGGGAGGTGACGTTTTACATTTTACTTCACCTTAGGCCCCTCATAACCTTAGTCAGGCCCTATCTATGCTATGTACTTGTTGACTAATTAGCCTTCTGGTTTACTCACTGGCTGAGAGTAACAGCCAGCTATGGAGTTGGAGTGCAGGGGCCCTGCGTGAGTGGACTCTCCGTGGGCAGCCCACGGTGTGGAAGAGGAGGTTGAATGCTCCAAGCTCAGACCCAGAGAGGCCGGAGTGACAGTGTTTGCTCAGAGAGAGACAGCCTGTGACCCCACAGTCCTGCCTGGCACCATTCTGAGCAGTTCCAGAGCAGCAGCAAGGTGACTCCGCCACACCGCGGGCAGGTATATTTGTTGGGTGTGCGCCTGCGTTCACGTGTGTGCCGGTTGGCGTGCATGCCCGTGTGTGTGTGAGTGCGCACGTGCATGCGTGTTTCTCAGGCCACACACCTTCTGCAGGGCCTGCACAAGAAGCTCAGACACAAAACTGCCGGCTCCTCCCACGACAGCCCGTTTTCTGTGACAAAAGAGCCATCGGCCCCCTCCCACACTGCTCCTGCACCCAGGATCCAGAGGAAGCAGAAAGAGCCCAGCAGTTCAGCGCAGCTCTGCTCCCCCACCCCTCCCATGAGCAATGAGTCACTCCCCAGCCCTGCCCCACAGTGTCTGGTGGAAGAGCAGGGGTAGAGGAGGGGGGAGGGGAAGGTGGGGAGCGCTGAGGGAATCAGTCAGACCATTGAGGTGCTCGGTGCCATCAGGGTCAGAATGCTCCACTTGGTGCATGGGGGGGAAGCTGGCGCAATGACCTGTCACTTATCGGGCAGGGGGAGCCAGTCAAAGCTCGGGCACAGGCCTGTCCATTTTTAAAGCCAATGTCTCTTGGCTTGGGACCGAGCTCATGGGGTTTGGGGCTGACTCACAATTTCTGACCATGCCAGGGGCCTGCCCGCATGGCTAACGAGCCAGCAGAGACTCTAGGCCACGATCGGTCTGCTTTTCTCCCAGCATCCTCCTCTTTCAGAGAGCTTGGGCCAGGACCAGATGCTCCCTTTTCCAGGTGGAGAAACTGAGGCACGGAACCGGGCGGGGACCTGCCCACAGTCGCACAGTGGCAGAAACAGCACAGAACCCAGGAGTCCTGGCTCCCAGCC